GCTCCCAGGAAATGGGAGTCATCATTTAGACCCCTCCCCAGTCATGGGAATTTTGTCAACTGGACAGCAAAGGCCTTGGAATGACCCTGTCTCCGGTCTTCAGTCCTGGCCTGATGCACTGATCTTACCAGTGTCCTGCTCCCCTCCTGCCCATGCCGCCAAACCAGACGGGATCCCATTGCCCTTGGACCTACTCTTTCACCGTCGTTTATGGCAGGACAGGAATGACCAGGTCAGCTGTGTGATTGTGTACATCACCTCCCAGGGCCAGAGCCATGGATGGGCACCATGAGTCCCCCCATCATCCCCACCTGGATCAAAAAGTCCTGGGTTGTAGCTGCTGACACCGCAACTACACACAGAGGGCCCAGTCCTCCTAGGACTCAGGGCTGTCTCTGGAGGTGGTGACTGCGGTTCCTGGGGGCAGAACTGAAGGCTGAATCGGCCCTGAAAATGGGTAAACACAGTCAAGAGATGGCTCGTTTTCAGCAAAGGGTGGGGGCTCCCATTGTCCTTGTCCCCAGTACAGAATCCAGTGTGTGTCCCTAACTACTGTGCCCCCGCCAGGGTCAGGGTCCCGGAGTGACCCTGCTCACCCAGTGTAGGGCAAGCAGCCACTGGGGAGCGCAGAGTCCTGGCTGGGTTCTGAGCAGCCCTGTCTGCACTGAGAAGCTGCCTGGGGCCGGGTTGTGGTGGCGCACACCTTTAATCCCAGCACTAGGGCAGCAGAGGCAGGTGGATCTCTGTAAGTTCGAGGCCAACCTGGTCTACAGAGTGAGTTCCAGGACAGACAGAACAACACAAAGAAACCCTGTCTCAAAAAACAAAACAAAACCAAAAAACAACAACAAAAGAAGCAGTTGCCAAGACGTAGATAAAAGGGAAAAAAACTAGAGGCCCAACCGACAGATCAAGGAATACAGATGGGGGAGAGTGATGGGGCGGGAGGGGACACAGGCACACCATGATCACCAGTGGCTCCAGCTTTGGTTGCCTGAGGATCTGCCATTGCAAGCCTCCAGCACCGGCAGGCCAGACCTGCCTATTCTTTTCTTCTCCCGCTTGCCTAAGTGGGTACCACCTGCTTGGGGACTGCACCTACTGTTTGGCTTGGATAGCGATCCCCTAGCTGGGTCCCACTCGTCCTCTTGGCAGTAGAGGTCTGTGGACTTTTGAGTCCTTGAACTGGGATGACCTCAGAAGCCCTCTCACCCGACCCTGACACCTGCCGGGCTGCTCTTCTGGGTCACTTCTAAACTCGACCCCTCCCCCCCTCCCCCCCCCCCCCCCCCCCCGCCCCACGCTGGTCCCCCAGGCCTGGAGGCTGGAATGCTGCTTTGATGCTGGGGGACTTGAGCAGGAGCTGTGTCCAGGCTCGGGAAGGAATACACGGCTTTCTCCAGTGTGAAGCGTGGTTCAAGGGCGTGAGTCGCCGAGGCAGAGCCCACGGACACTTGCCACGCAGGGACTGAGACCTTCGCCCACTACAGATGACAACAGGGCGGGGCACCAAGGGATGCAGAGACGCCGCCGCCTGCAGCTCGGCGCGGGAACAAAGGAAACACCGGGCGGTGGCCCTGCGTCCCACGCGCGTCCCCGGCACCCACGCCCACGCATGTCGCGCAGACGCACTCAGGGTACCCGGGTTCACCACGCGTCTGAGGGCACCAACTCCCGCACATCGCCCCTGCGCCAGTGGTGCCCGCCTTTAACACCAAGGCCCTGGAGCGGCAGCTGCGGGGACCAAGAAAGCTGTTCCAGGGTTTTCCTCCAAGTCCAAGGTCCGTGCGTGGCTGGCTCTGGCAGGCCTGGGGCCAACCCTAATGCCCCAAACTGACACGAGGTGTCCGTGGACCCAGACTGTGGGGATGACCACGCCGGTGAGGAAGAGCCGCGACTGAACCGCGAGGAAGGCGCAACTGCAGCCTTGTGGCGCCACCTACGGCCCAGTCTAGCTCTCAAGCTTTCCCCGAGCCAGCAAGACTCCCCGGTGGCTGTGTGTTTGTTTCGTGCGTCTCCCCCCCCCCCCCACCCCCCCAGACTCCCTCAGATCACGACCTTGGTCTGGGCATGCCAGGGCAGACAGACTTCCCCACTTTGAATCAGCTGCGGGCAAAGGGGTGAGTGCCAAGATGTCCATATTCTGAACCTTCCCCTCTATCATAAGGCGGTCCTGCCGGGGAAACTGAGGCCTGAGACAACTGACATGTGGACTCCTGGTACCACCACCCAGATACTGCCTTCCTCTACCCCAGGTTTAACCCCATCCCAAGGTTTCTAAATAATCACACCAGAAAAAGGCAGCCCTTGGCCCCCAGAAACATCAGCCACACGCCCTTTGTTCTGACAGGGCTCCATTTCCTGGTGTTCTCCCACCATCCAAAAGCAGCGTGGCTCCCACAGTTGTGAACACTCTCAGGTCAGGAGGCATAGGAAGGCAGAACTGGGCTGCTCTGGTTTGAACGGCCCATGAGCTGGGCCAGAGTCTCACGGTCAGCCCATGGTCCATGCCTATGCCCAGCACCCGAAGGCCAGACTACCCTGAGCTTCTGTGCGGACTGAGTGACATGACACCCCTACCCTACCCATGAGAAGTAACCTCTAACACAGACAGACAGACACACACACACACAACAACAACAACAACAACACCCCGGAAGAGAGACAGGCACGAGGCCCAGGGCCTCCAAGTGTTCGACACACCAGAATCTGGGCCCCAGTTATCTTCACCATTGGAGAAGAACACCAGCTCGTGGGGTGCTCCACATGGTAAGGGACCTCTCATGGTAAGGGACACCCTGATACACCCAGGAGCAACCCCAGAGGTCACTGCTAAGACCTGGGCTCAGCAGGGCCTTGTGGGAGTTCAGGGAGAGACCACAGTGCTCCGGAATTCTCGAAGAGGTGGTATCAGCAGACTTTGAGGTTAGGAGTTTGCCAGAGGGAAATGCGAGAAGGACCCTCTCACCGGAAGGCGTGGGCTTGCAAGATCAGCCAATGTCATGTGTTCTAGGGAAGAGGAGGCTTGAACAGCAGGCAAGCCACAGTTCAAGGCCAGGCTGCAGCACAGCCTCTCACAGACAGCTTTTCTAAGTGGGTCAGTGATGGTGACCCTGCTTGGGTGGGCTGGCATGGCGTGGGGGGCGTGGGGTCCGCAGGGAGCCTCCAGGGATGAAGACACAAAGGTGACAAGGTGGGGAGGCCATGAGAGGTCACCTTGAATGTCACTCTGAGAACAGCGAGGAAGTATGACAGGGACTGAACCTGACAAATGTGATTTGGGTCTCAGAGGGACCAGCTGGGCAGGCTCTTCCTTAGGGAAGGCTCTCCCAATCCAGCAGGTCTCGCGCTGGGGTCAGGCTCTACGCCTCGTCTTCTCTGACCCAGTTCTGAGAGGCTCACCCCACCCCAAGTCCAAGGCTGGACCCGCCTGAAAGACCGGGCTTCCACACCGGGTTGACATGGAAGAGCTTCCCCCTCCCCCACCCTGCACAGTCCTCCCCACCCTGCACAGTCCTCCCCACACACCGTGCACAGTCCTCCCCACCCTGCACAGTCCTCCACACACACACCATGCCCAGTCCTCCCCACCCTGCACAGTCCTCCCCACACACCCTGCACAGTCGTCCCCACCCTGCACGGTCCTCCACACACACCATGCCCAGTCCTCCCCACCCTACACAGTCCTCCCCACACACCATGCAGTCCCCGCCAGGGAGAAAGAACAGTGGCACCACCATAATTTCTATTTCCTTCTAAACAGACGTTCCCAGATCCGCTCCCACAGAACCAATTAAAGCACCTGCCGGGACCCGGCTTTGTCAGCAAATTACTTCCAGGCTCCGTGGCTTAGGAATAAATCTCAGGCAGATGAAAAGATGGGATGAGGGGAGAAGCACCAGAGCAGGCAGGGGCACCCCAACAGCAGGCATCCAGCCCCAGACTATTCCCCCACTTCTGCCAGAGTCCATATAGACCAGGATGAAAATTACCCCCATGAGCAGTGGCCTGGGAGGGTTCCATCTTCTTGTCCCAAAGGCCAAGCTCACCTGTGCCCCTTGGCCCCTACCCCACCAAGCAGTAGGGAGCCTTTGCCTCCCCTCTGCAGCAGAATCCCGACAAATCCTTCCCTGCTTGGGCCTTGGTGTTTCTATCCACTTTACAGGTCCCAGAGGGTCCTGGCCTTGCTGTCCCTGCTTCAGAGTCTTAGGGGCCCATGGCATACCATGTGGCTTCTCTTCTGCAGGAAAGCTAAGGCCTGAGGTGCCGGTGGATCTTAGCCCAGTGCAGCCCCAAAGTTCTCAACCAAGTGAAGGGACAAAAGGGCTTGGGTGGGGTTGGGAGGGCAGGCAATGACTACAATCGCAAGGGTGGGGCCTCCTAGGGAGAATCAGGGGTGCCCTCTTCAAGCATAAATAGTTCACCATAGACCAGCAGTTCTCCCAAAGAAAAAATGACTCTGAATCCTGTACCATTTCTCTTAGAATGACAAAAACACACTCTTCTGGGGGGGGGGGGGTGTTCTAACTTTAGGAAACGTACCATGCCTGTGACCCAAACAGTGCCCCTAGGTTTATATATATTCACACTGCAGAATGACTAGATCAAGCAGTGGGCGGAGGGAACACAGAGTGAGCTTGGGATAGCTGTGGACCTGAGAGGTTTCAGAAAAGCAAAGAGCAAGCAGGACATGCTGAGCCCCTCAGACGGTTAGCAGAAACCCATTTCCCCCTCAGGTGGGCCCCTGCAGGACGCTGGAACCTGGAAGGGTCATTTAGGTGGGGCCACAGTTGCCAGATGTCCTCTGTGTCAGACAGAACCCGTTCTGTCACAGGAGGACAGAAACACAGGTTTGTTGTTCCCCGTCTTTCCCGTCTGTCCCCTAGTGCCTCCTGGTGGCCGTCTGAGGGTCCTACACAACCTCAGAACAAGCTTGCCAGAGAACAGCAAGAATCTTGGGAGATAGCTCCGCTCGAGGAGGTGCCGGCCCAGCAGGCAGACGGGCCTGGATCCATTCTCTTCCTTTGTGCTATTAAATAATACAGAATCAGAACTGTTTGCGATGACAGAAATCATCTTAACCCAGGCTTCCCATGAAAAGCAAGATTTAATAAAATGCTATGGAGTCTTAAGGTACAGGCTGCACGCGGGGGGGGGGGGGGGGGTGGGGTCGGGGGGGGGGTCGGGGGGGGGGGGAGGCCTGGGTTCTCTGTACCTCGGCCCTTTCCCAAGCACCCGGATAAGGCGGTGCCTGTTTTGACCTAAGCAGTCAAGATCAGGGGTGTGATCAAGCTAGCACCTACTCCCCATGGGTGGGCCCCACAGCACAGGAATTTGTGAGCTGGACAGAACTTCAGAAAACCCAGAAAGTGTGAGGATGCTGTTAGGTTTGAATGATAAGGAAGCATTAGACATTTCTTCTCAGTTGTGCCTACCTGCAGCTGTCTTGATCCCATTTTCCGGATCAGTCTATAGATGCAATTTTCCTCTGGTTTTCACGGGTCATCTGTTTTTCTATGTTATAGAAAAATCTAACTTTGGTTATTCCCAGTGTCTGTGTGTGTGTTTGTGTGTGTGTGAGGGGAGGAGAAAGAGAGAGAGAGAGAGAGAGAGAGAGAGAGAGAGAGGAGAGAGAAAGTATGCTGAGACCAGAGGACAATAATTGTTCAAGGCACTGTCTTTTTTGTCAAATAGGCTTATCTGGTTAATCTCCTGCCTCCACCTCCCCAGGTCCGGGATAACAAGGTATGGCTATGCCCAGGTTCTTTGGTTGGTTGGTTGGTTGGTTGGTTGGTTGGTTGGTTGGTTGGTTTAATGGTTGGCTTGGGTTCTGTTTTATTTATGTGTTTTGCCTGCTTGTCCGTACATATTTGTGTGTGTGCCTAGTGCCCTTGGAAGCCAGAAAAGGGTGTCAGATCCCCCTGGATTTACAGGGAGTTGTAGGTCACCTGATGTGGATGTGGGGAACCAAACCCTGTTCTCTGCAAGAACAGCCAGAGCTCTTAGGCACTGAGCCATCTCTCCATCCCCAGCATTGGTTTTTGATGTGTGTGTGTGTGTTGGTTTTTTGAGGGTCTCTTTGAATAGCCCTGACTGTCCGGGAACTCGCTTTGTAGATCCGCCTGCCCTCGAACTCACAGAGATTTGCCCGAGTCTGCCATCTGAGTGCTGGGATTAAAGGCGTGCGCCACCACTGCCCAACCCCAGCAATGTACTGAACCCACACTTGTGAGGCAAGTGATTTGCTCACTGAGCCATCTCCTCAGAAAACTGGAGCAGCAAGCAGCTGTGTCATGTTTCCTGAAACAGACATCCCAGAGTTGAGTGCAGTCACCACCCCTTCTGAGTCAAGTGTTCCCTTCCTCTCTAGACAACAAACATCCGTGATGGGGTCTCCCTAAATGATTTTTCTGGAGAAGGAGAGTCTGAATTTAGAATTTCAGGAGCAAGCAGCAGGTGGCCACAGCGGTTTGGTTACTCTGGGCTCAGTTTCTCTTGGTAATTCAAGGTGCTATCCATCTCAGTGAGGACAGAAGTGAGGAGGCAGTGAGGGGGCAGTGAGGGGGGCAGTGAGGGGGGCAGTGAGGAGGGCAGTGAGGAGGGCAGTGAGGGGGGCAGTGAGGAGGGCAGTGAGGAGGCAGTGAGGGGGGCAGTGAGGAGGCAGTGAGGGGGGCAGTGAGGAGGCAGTGAGGAGGCAGTGAGGAGGGCAGTGAGGAGGCAGTGAGGGGGGCAGTGAGGAGGCAGTGAGGAGGGCAGTGAGGAGGCAGTGAGGGGGGCAGTGAGGAGGCAGTGAGGGGGGCAGTGAGGAGGCAGTGAGGAGGGCAGTGAGGGGGCAGTGAGGGGGGCAGTGAGGAGGGCAGTGAGGAGGGCAGTGAGGGGGCAGTGAGGGGGCAGTGTGGAGGCAGTGAGGAGGCAGTGAGGAGGGCAGTGAGGAGGCAGTGAGGAGGGCAGTGAGGGGGCAGTGAGGAGGGCAGTGAGGAGGCAGTGAGGGGGCAGTGAGGAGGCAGTGAGGGGGCAGTGAGGGGGCAGTGAGGGGCAGTGAGGAGGCAGTGAGGGGGCAGTGAGGGGCAGTGAGGAGGGCAGTGAGGGGGGCAGTGTGGGGGGCAGTGAGGAGGCAGTGAGGGGGGCAGTGAGGGGGGCAGTGAGGAGGCAGTGAGGGGGGCAGTGAGGGGGGCAGTGAGGAGGCAGTGAGGGGGCAGTGAGGAGGGCAGTGAGGAGGCAGTGAGGGGGCAGTGAGGAGGGCAGTGAGGAGGCAGTGAGGGGGCAGTGAGGGGGCAGTGAGGAGGGCAGTGAGGAGGCAGTGAGGAGGGCAGTGAGGAGGCAGTGAGGGGGCAGTGAGGAGGGCAGTGAGGAGGCAGTGAGGGGGCAGTGAGGAGGGCAGTGAGGAGGCAGTGAGGGGGCAGTGAGGGGGCAGTGAGGGGCAGTGAGGAGGGCAGTGAGGAGGCAGTGAGGGGGGCAGTGAGGGGGCAGTGAGGGGGGCAGTGAGGGGGGCAGTGAGTAGGGCAGTCGGGGAGGCAGGAGGACCACAGGGGGACTGAAGCATCTGCTCATGTCACATCACAGTCAGAAACAGAATGACAATTGCATGCCACTTCTCAGCTCCCTTCTCCACTTACAGTCAGGATCCCAGCCAGGGAACGGTGCCACCTACAGTGAGCGGCTCTTTCTCTCTCTCTGTTAATGTCATCAAGAAACCCCCCACGGAAATGCCCAGAGGCTGGTCTCTCAGGTTAGTGTAGATTCCCCCATTGACAGATGACACCATGACACATCTGCCACCATTGCCTGGCTTCACAGACACAGACCAAAAGTAACATTATTTTGCCTTTTTGTGCATATATTTATTTTCCGATTGATTAATTATCTATTTCATTTTTGCAGACCTCGTCTCTGTTAGGAGAATAGAATTTTTGTCACATATCAAGGAGATACATGTCACACATCAAGCTTGCATGGGGACACACTTGTGACACAGGGGAAGGAATCTTGGAATCCAAGGCCAGTCTGCCACTAAGTTCCATCCTCAGCCAGAAATGGTTTTGTTTTCCTTCCATTTTTTTTTCAAGACAGGATGTCTCTGTGTAACAGCCCTGGTGGTCCTGGAACTAGATCCACCTGCCTCTGCCTCCGGAGTGTTGGCATCAAAGGTGTATGCCACCACCACCCAGCTTCCTCCCAATTTTTATTGTATAATTTTTCAAAATACTGAGAAGTTGAAGGAACTGTGCAATGCATCTGCCATCCCTTCACCTAGAGCTGCCTAGTGAGCACGAAGTCTCAGGGTCAGTCCCCAACTGAAGTCGGGGGGGGGGGGGGAGTTCAGTCCCCAGCTGGAGTCGAAGCGGGGTTTGGTCCCTAGTGCTGGAGTCAGATCAGGGATCGGTTTCCAGCGCTGGAGTCAGAGCGGGGTGTTAGAATGACCTGGGGAGAGAGTTCAGTGGGCAAAGTGCCTGCTAAGTAAGCACAGGACCTGAATTTACACCCCAAGAACCCACAGTTAAAAAGCTAGATGGTGTGTACTTACAATCCCACTACTGGGGAGTAGAGAGACCCGCCATGCTTGCTGGCCAACCAGCCTAAACAACAAACTCCAAATCGGTGAGAGACCCTGTCTCAAACCCACAAGTGGGTGGCAGAGCTGGTTCAGTGGTTGAGAGCACTTGTTGCTCTGCAGACCTGGGTTCAGTTCTCAGCACCCACATGGTAGCTCACAACCATCTGCCACTCCAGTCCTAGAGCACCCAGTGGCTCCTCGGGCACCAGCTGGGTTTGTATGGATAGGCAAAACATAAAATAAACAATTTTTTTAAAAGTTAGTGTGCAGTTAGGGTGTTGGGGCAGGAGAGATGGCTTGGCAGTTAACAGCACTGGCTGCTCTTGCAGGGAGCCAGGGCGAGGCTCCCAATTACCAATAACTCCAAATTCCAGGGGATCTAATGCCCTCTTCTGGGCACCACGGGCACCAGGCACCCACATGATTTGCTATGCACACACTCAGGTATACACATACACACAAAATTAAATAAATATTTTTTTTAAAAAAAATGTTGGATGTCAGTAGGCTTCTAAAGAGTGACATCCAGCCAGGCGGTGGTGGCGCATGCCTTTAATCCCAGCACTCGGGAGGCAGAGGCAGGCAGATCTCTGTGAGTTCGAGACCAGCCTGGTCTACAAGAGCTAGTTCCAGGACAGGATCCAAAACCACAGAGAAACCCTGTCTCGAAAAAGCAAAAAATAAATAAATAAATAGTGACATCCAGAGGTTAACCTCTGACCTCCACATGCATGCACATGCACACACACACACACACACACACGTGCACACACACACGCACATACACACATTCATTCACACCCATAAACACACTAAAAATAAGTTACGTGGTGCATTCTCTCCCTTCCCCCCTCTTTCTCTCCCTCTTCTCCTATGCCCTTCCTCGCTATATATTTTTTAATTTAATTCTCCCCGAATCAGCTGTGAGTTAGAGGTAAGCAGCTGTACCTTTTACCCCAAGTTTCTTCTTCCCCCCCAGAACCACAGGAATCAGGACATTTGGGGAGCTGTCATCATTCCTGATTCACCTTGATGCCATGACTCCATGAAGCATTTTCGAGGGACCAAGTCTTGCTTCTAGACTAGTCGTCACCAACAGACCATTTCAAGAAATAAGTGAAAGAAACCCTCAGAGCTCGCATACCACTGTGGGGTCCAGCAAAGATCTACAGCTCACCTCGATGTAAATGCTCTGGGGTCACACAGGGACATCAGACCACGGGCAGCCTGGAGAGGCTCTCCAGCCTTCAGCACGGACTCTGAAGACCCAAAGGCACAGTGCAGCCTCCTACACCACCCGGTCATGACTCCAGGGAGGGAATGAGTGCCGCCGTAGCCACTCAGCCACGCCGTGGTAGGCAGAGCCCAGCTCCTGGCCGGATCCCTTCCTCTTACCAGGACAAGTGTAGAATTTTTTTTTAATTGTTTTCAAAACAGATTTCATGTGGTCCCAAAATGAGACCATGATTGTAAATTAAAGTGTAATTAGCCTTTCTGCTTTTATATTCATTAACTCTTCTCTGTTAATGGCGCAAAGCTGGAGCGGAACCCCCGCATTATAAAAACCACATCCAGGAAATAAAATAGTGATTTAGATAATAGCCACAATGTATTGCTGCTTACACATAATTAAACAAATGCGCCATTTAAACTTGGAAACATGACTGAATGTTGATTAACCTCGCCCGGCAATTCTGCTCGGCCCAGAGAAGGGGAGATGCTAAGGATGGGTGGGACAAAGTGTCTGAGCCTATCACATCCCCTGCACACGGGAGGAAGGGGCCGTGTGGGTCCTGGGAGCAGTGACCAGAGTGGCCCCCAGACCATCTGGGAAAGAGACACATTAATCACGTAAGCCAGACACACAAGGATAAAACTATCATTTCTTGTTCAGTTGTGTGAGATTTAAGTGAGATTGTGGACTGACGGTAGGGGGTGGCCACTAGGGGCTAGCAGACAAGGGACTTGTGAGAATGAATATTTAAATTTTTAATATATACATTTATTTATTTATGTTGGGGGGGGTGTGCACGTGCCATGGCCTGTGTGTAGGTCGGAGGACAACTTATGTGAATCAGGCTTGGTGACCTCTACCTGCTGAGCCCTCTCAAAGGCCCAGGATGGAGTGAGAGCTGGGATGATAGGGTTTCAGAGATGTGGTGACTGTCCTAAACACTGAGAGCCACTGAACTGTACACTCAAAACAGTGACATTTCCATACCATGGTCTTCCAATGCTTATTTAAATGATTAAAAAATAAAAAATATTGTTCCTGGGGGTTGGAAAGATGTCTTGGTAGCTAAGAACACTGGCTGCTCTGCCAGACAACCTGGGTCCAATTTCCAGAGTCACGCAGCAGCTCACAACTGTCTGTAACTACAGTTCCAGAGGATCCGTCACCCTGTCTGTAACTACAGTTCCAGAGGATCCGTCACCCTGTCTGTAACTCCAGTTCCAGAGGATCCGACACCCTGTCTGTAACTGCAGTTCCAGAGGATTCGACACCCTGTAACTCCAGTTCCAGAGGATCCGACACCCTGTCTGTAACTCCAGTTCCAGAGGATCCAACACCCTGTCTGTAACTACAGTTCCAGAGGATCCGACACCCTGTCTGTAATTCCAGTTCCAGAGGATCCGACACCCTGTAACTCCAGTTCCAGAGGATCCGACACCCTGTCTGTAACTACAGTTCCAGAGGATCCAACACCCTGTCTGTAACTACAGTTCCAGAGGATCCGACACCCTGTCTGTAACTCCAGTTCCAGAGGATCCGACACCCTGTCTGTAACTGCAGTTCCAGAGGATTCGACACCCTGTAACTCCAGTTCCAGAGGATCCGACACCCTGTCTGTAACTACAGTTCCAGAGGATCCAACACCCTGTCTGTAACTACAGTTCCAGAGGATCCGACACCCTCTTCTAACTTCCTCAGTCACCAGGCATGCACATGATACACATGCATACTTACTAGTAAAACACCCACACACATGAAGTAAAATATAAAAAGCTAGAAAGTAATTCGTGCCATTGCTGGCCAGGCAAGAGGGTTCCGTAGTAAAGATGCTTGCCTGCAAATCTGGAGACCTGAGTTTGACTGCAGTCTTCCGTGGTGAGAGGAAAAGCACAGCTCTGAAAGCAGCCGTCTGACCTCCACACATCACCCACGAACAAGCAATCACAGGTCTCCAGCTCAGCTGCTAGCTGAATGCAGGAAGCCAGAAGTTCACGCTTTCCCCAGAATCTGCTTCCCACGTCTATCTTGGATCTTCTGAGGCCCGACCGAGGCTTTCTGAAAATGTTGTATTTTATGGTTTTAAGTATTACTACAGCGAGAGAAGTGTGAACAGAGAAGCTTCTGGTCCTGGGCGCTTTTCCAAAAGGAGCCCCCAGTATTTTTCTGTTTTATGATTTTCTTTTTCTATATGTTTCTTTTCTAAATAGTTTGTCTTCTTGGTTGAGTTCCCCAGAAGCAAACACAGGCCTATTTGGAAGGTGGCCCCAGAAAAACCAGAAGGGCAGTATTGGGGACACAGGAAGGGATGCAGCCCAATAGAGTACTCATCACTGTGGGGCTGGGAGACAGTGTCTGCTTTGAAAGCATGAGGGACTGAGTTTGATCCCCAACATCCACGTAAAAAGCCAGGCACCTGCAATCTCAGCGCTGTGAGATAGAGAAAGGACCCAGCCAGTTTAGCCAAATGGGGAGCCCCTGGTGCTGGTAATAGACCTTGTCTCAAAACACAAATAGGGGCCAACAAGATGGCTGAGCAGATACAGGTGCTTGCAACCAAGTCTGATGACATGAGTTCAAACCCTGGGACCCACACAGCAGAAGGCTAGAACTAACTTCCAAAAGTTGACCTCTGATCTCTACACATGCAAACATGTGCATGTGTTCATACACACACAATAACTAAACACTGGAAATAAATGTTTAAGAAGGCTAATGGCGGAACTAGAGAGATGGCTCCGCAGTTAAGAGCACTTGCTACTCTTGCAGAGAACCTGGGTTCAATTCCCAGCATCCACATGGTAGCTTGCAACTATAACTCCAGCTCCAGGAAATCAAATGTCCTCTTCCGGCCTCTGAGGGTACCAGGCATGCACATGGTGCAGAGACATACATATAAGCAAATAATCATACACATAAAACAAAATAAACCTTTTCAAACGTGCTGGATAACACCTGAGAACATCAGACATCAGTATGTGTTCTGGCCTCCCGTGTTCACACGTACAGACATGTACACGCACCTGTCCCACATGTATACACGCACACACACACACAAACACAAACACACATGCACCATGCCCGCAATCGTTACATATTTAACTGCTGTCTAACAAACAGTCCCAAAACTTAGAAGCTTGAGACAAAATTTTTTTGTCGGCTCTCATGGTTTGTGTGGCTGATGAATAACAGCATCAGGACCCCAGCTGTGAAGTCAGAGGTGGACACTGGGCATCCAAAGACCAGTCAGTCAGAGGTGGGCACTGTGCATCCAAAGACCAACCAGTCAGAGGTGGGCACTGGGCATCTAAAGACCGACCAGTCAGAGGTGGACACTGGGCATCTAAAGACAGGCCATGTCCAGGTAGCCAGAGTTATTACTAACTGTCCCTGGCTGAAGCTGTCTGCTGGAATCCCTACTTATGGTGCCGGGGCTCCTCAAGGTTGTAGCCAACGCCCAAAGACAAGCATGAGAAAGGCAGGAGAGAAGCCAGATGAAGGTCGTGCTGCGTTCCGAGGCCTTGAGAAGTCACAAACTCAGTCTCTCCACTAGTTACAAGGTCAGCCAGGTTCAGGAGGAAAGGATTGTCAACAGCCTGTTGTGACAAGAGACTGAAGAGACATTCCGCCGCAGGCATCAGGCACCCCAGGACTGGCTCACCTAAGCTGTGGAGGCCATGCAGTCAGTTTGGCTGAGAGTCTTCCTGGGCAATGGGCTTCCAGCTTCTTGCACTTCTGCTCAACAGGGCACACACTGAGAGAAGGCCACGCTGCCAAAGAGAGCTGCCAGGCAATGTGATGGCAGCTGGGACTGAGTGTCACCATGCAAGGCCAGAGGGGCTCTGGTGGGGCACTGAAAGCTTCCCAGGCCATGCGCTGGCCAGAGAATGTGGCCACTGAGATTGACAACTCAAAGGTCACTGATCAGTCCCCTGACCGCCCCCACACCCCTTTGCAAAGTACATGTTGGGATCCCTCACCTACCACTGTGCCAGCCACCGCCCAGTATCCAGCATCGGGCAAAAACCAAGTGCCAGAGCAAAGTGAGACACATGAGCATGTCTTCTGAGAACAAAACCCACCTCAGCTTACATCCCTGCCTGAAGCTCTCATGCCTCACCCCTGCTCATTACTTCTGCGTGGATGTGACCAGAACACCTGACAGAGACAACCTAAGGAGGTGGATGAGTTACCGTTCAGTTGCTGATATAAAAACTCCGTGACCAAGGCAGCATACACAAGAAAGAGTTTGTTCTGCCTGTGACTGCATGGGGCTGAGAGACCATCACCGTGGGCAGCAGGCAGCAGGCGACAGGCATGGCCGCAGGAATGTGAGCTAAAGGCTTACATCTTTGCTACGCAACAGGGTTTCTCTGTGTCACCCTGGCTGTCCTGAACTCTCTAAGGAGGCCAGGGTGGCCTCAGACTCACAGAGAGCCCCCTGCCTCTGCTTCCCAACTGTGGAAATGGAGTTACAGGTGGTTATGCGGTATCCACAAGGCTTGTAGAAATTGAACCAAGATCCTCAGTGCTCTTAACTGCTGAGTCGTCTCTCCAGGACACATTACTTTTTGAGACAAGTTAGGGATAGGCTGGTCAGACAATGAACTCTATGGATCCAAGTATGTCCACTCCCCCAGAATAGGAGGCATAGAGTCAGCTGCTGGAGCTGGCCCTTCTGTGCGTGCTGGGCTCTGAACTCAGGTCCTCGTGCTTGGGTGGCAGGTACGAGCTGAGCCAACTCCCCAGGCTAATTCCACAGTTTTTACAAGTATTTATTTCATGCCCAAAGCTTTCCTGGGAAAATATATTATTACTATCAAAGTCAATGTCACTCTAGAGCTAGGACAACTGTCACTCTAGAGCTAAGACAGCTGATACTCTAGAGCTAGGACAGCTGTCACTCTAGAGCTAGGACAGCTGTCACTCTAGAGCAAGGACAGCTGTCACTCTAGAGCTAAGACAGCTGATACTCTAGAGCTAGGACAGCTGTCACTCTAGGGCTATGACAGATGTCACTCTAGAGCTAGGATAGCTGTCACTCTAGAGCTAGGACAGCTGTCACTCTAGAGCTAGGACAGCTGTCACTCTAGAGGTAGGACAGCTGTCACTCTAGAGCTAAGACGGCTGCTACTCTAGAGGTAGGACAGCTGTCACTCTAGGGCTAGGACGGCTGTCACTCTAGAGGTAGGACAGCTGTCACTCTAGGGCTAGGACAGCTGTCACTCTAGAGCTAGGACAGCTGTCACTCTAGGGCTAGGACAGATGTCACTCTAGAGCTAGGACAGCTGTCACTCTAGGGCTAGGACAGATGTCACTCTAGAGCTAGGACGGCTGTCACTCTAGAGCTAGGACAACTGTCAC